ACCCTGCTTTGGCAGAGGCTGGACAAGATGAGCTAATACACTTCTTTCCATGTCTGATTTCTGAGATTCACATGGAGTTCCAATCCTGAACGTGCCAAAAACCGAGCAAAACGGGGAAGAGGTGCATCCATCTGAAGGAGGGGAAACTAAAAGGAGCAAGCACCATGGGCCAAGAAAGCAAGCGTTCATTGTTTTTTCCATCTAGACTTTGCTTCTCCTAATCCAACATGGTTTGCAGATCAAGCTGACATTTGGAAGGTCATATGTTGAACTCCGGTAGCCCCGAGATCAGGTAATTCTCATGGTTTTAGAGTTGGTTTACAAGTTGACCGTCTACAAGGAGATCTCCTGTTTCCTTGGATTGAGCCTGATTCAACCAACACCCAATTTGATGTCACTGTTGCAAAACGAAGTGAGGAGCCTAACAGACCCTCATGGATAAAGGCATGAACACATTGTACTGTAAAGGAAAGAGCAATAGAAGTAAAAGGGGAAAATGGGCACAGAAAGGTGACTGGACTTGCCCCTGGGTCACATCACAAGCTAATTAGACCCCACGTCCTAGTTTGGAGTACTACCCGCTGCAAGAACATTAGCAAACGCCAACAGGGACCAAAGCCTTTGTAATTAATGTAATTATATTACTTTAAAAAAAAAGTTTGTCTAATGGGATACCGTAAATACCCTGAATTATGAGCAACAATTTGGTCATCTTGTTTCTCCAAGCAGTTCCTGTTTCGTTACCCAAGGCATGCCCTATTGAAGGCATGTGGAATATAATAGTGAGGGGTTTTTTTCCTTTTGAGGGCAGTACCCATTCCCACCAGGGTTCCTCAAGCCGGAAAGTGAATGACGGCAAGCACTTGCTCTCAAGCAGCCGCCATGCCAAGCCTGTGTCATGTGTATCCTATTAGGCAGAGGGCTGAATAGAAGACTTTGTTTTCCACTTCAAAGGACCCCATCCCAATCTCTCGCTCTTCCCTTATGAATAACAAATTGGAAATAAATCTGCTGGCCCAAGTGCATGGAAAAAACTCACACAGGCAGGGCCCTCCGCAGCTTCCCAAGCTCAAGCCCATGCTAATTTTCTGTAAACCCTTTTCTGGGATATAGACGTCGAGCTGACTGCACGCTTCTGTACCAGCAAAACGATACGGGAGAGGCGAGCTCAGGGGAGGGACATTGCACATTTCGATCCGTTCTCAGGGAGACCGGGACTTTACAGGAGCAGGTCTCGTCACACAGATGGAGACCCATGCTTCTTTCTTTTCTTCCTCAATGCTCCCCTCTGTTCCCACGAACCACAGTCTTCCAGAAATCCCATTGTTTTCCTACTTATCGTCTAGCCGTGGTGCGGTCGGCATTACAGCAATACTCAGAACGTGGGATGTGGTTACGGCATCTCGCTGCGGCGACAGAAGTGCGAGTTCAAGCTCCGCTCTGGACTCGAGACAAAAGCCGCCCCAGCTGCCTGGTGGTTCAGACTGGGGAGTCAAAGGCAACTGACTGGAAGCAAGTCTGGCCACATCGTTCGCTTGGGTATCACCGGCTACAGACACTGATGTGCCTTAAATCACCAAAGCCCCAAGCAAGGCTGCTAGGCTCTAGAGACACACTGGGCATTGCTGAGGCTGGGCCCAAATCTTGCAGCTTTGAGGCAAGATGGATCTTTCCATCCAGCTGTGCAGCTGCAACTCCCATCTGGAATCCAGTCGGTTCACAGACCTTTTCACTGCCTTTGACCAAGGTGACCCTGCCCCGCTCATGCCCGCAGGGAACGCAGGGCAGCATTAATTGCCACTCCCCTGCTGCCAAATTTCTAGACTTATGTGAATCCCCGTGGGCCAGAAATCTTGGGCTGTATGTGCTAGATTGGCACGGATTAGGCCGTTTGTGTGCAAAATCCACCACCTCCCACTTCATTGCTTCCTCTTCCTCTGCAGGCCCCCATTCCCTCTTGTCTTATTCGCACACCGCAAGCTTTTGGGGGGGACGGGCACCACACTTTTCTTCTGACTGCATGCAGTTTAGGTCACTCTGAATTACGGCCGTGCACAGACAGCAAGGGAGAGGCAACCCGGCAGCGAGGAATTCCAGTCAATTAGAGCTTGACGAGCAGATCGGTTTCAAAAGGAGCAGGAACAGCAGCATCAGAGAGCACGAGAGGGAACTGGGTCAAATGCAGATGCCTTATTACACATGCAGCTTGAAGGAGCCAAGCAGGGCTCGTGGCGTCCTCTCAGCTTGAAGCCTGCAACTGAGACAGCTTCTTTTCCAATGTCCCAATTGATTCCAATTATAAACATTAGCATACTAGATTAATTTGCTGCTCCGGGTCCTTTTTTGTTTGAGTCGGTGAAGGCCACGAAAGCAGACTGAAATCCTGCCTGAACGAGCTGCTTTGTCTTTTGATCCTGGGGAG